TATATATATATATATATATATAGACTATAAATAAAGAAAGTCATCTATAGTATGTTCAAAATGGGCTATTCCATTTAATATCCGTACCCCCCCCCTGTCGAGGATACATGTTTTTCATTGTCATACCCCTGAAGAATTCCAAGCTCAAAACTGTTTACCCCTGAAGAATTCCAAAATTCCAAGCTCAAAACTCTTTACCCCTGAAGAATTCCAAGCTCAAAACCTTTTACCCCTGAAGAATTCCAAGCTCAAAACCCTTCACCCCTAAAGAATTCCAAGCTCAAAACCCTTCACCCTGAAGAATTCCAAGCTCTGAAAAATTTCAATCTCAAACCTCTTTACCCCTGAAGAATTCCAAGCTCAAAACCCTTTACCCCTGAAGAATTCCAAGCTCAAAACCATTTACCCCTGAAGAATTCCAAACACAAAACACTTTACCCCTGAAGAATTCCAAGCTCAAAACACTTTACCCCTGAAGAATTCCAAGCTCAAAACCCTTTACCCCTGAAGAATTCCAGGGATCCTCGACAGGGGGGGTACGGATATTTAATGGAATAGCCCAAAATATAATTATATATATATATATATATATATATATATATATATATATATATATATATATATATATATATATATATATATATATATATATATATATATATATATATATAGACTATAAATAAAGAAAGTCATCTATAGTATGTTCAAAATGGGCTATTCCATTTAATATCCGTACCCCCCTGTCGAGGATACATGTTTTTCATTGTCATACCCCTGAAGAATTCCAAGCTCAAAACTGTTTACCCCTGAAGAATTCCAAGCTCAAAACCTTTTACCCCTGAAGAATTCCAAAATTCCAAGCTCAAAACTCTTTACCCCTGAAGAATTCCAAGCTCAAAACCTTTTACCCCTGAAGAATTCCAAAATTCCAAGCTCAAAACCCTTTACCCCTGAAGAATTCCAAGCTCAAAACCATTTACCCCAGAAGAATTCCAAACTCAAAACACTTTACCTCTGAAGAATTCCAAGCTCAAAACCCTTTACCCCTGAAGAATTCCAGGGATCCTCGACAGGGGGGGGGTACGGATATTAAATGGAATAGCCCAATACGACTTTGTAGTTTGTAAAATAAAAGTACTTACTTTTCGACGAAGCTACGATGATCGACATCTCATAATTAGGTATCATCGCAAAAGATACAGAGCAATGAACGCACCACAGAAAGATCTACGGTACAGGTTGTTATAAAATGTCGCCAAAGCCCGCCATAATCAATTATTATGCTTCCTTACACGAAGTAGTACAAGTTAGAAGCTAAACCATTAAATTAGATGTGCCGTGGTATTGCGGGCTCAAATCCCAGCCGGACAAGAACAGGTCTCTGATGTTTTGGATAAAAGGAATTTAATTATTTATTAGTTCAGTTTATAAAGTAAAGGAACTGTCATCTAATTTTAGTAAAGTAAGTCAGTATAGTTATACAAATGTATATGGATTAAACTTTTTTCTATCTGTTTGCTTTGAAAGTAAGTTCCATTTTTTATTGAAACTATAAGATTTATAGTTATCACTATTTGAGATATTTGTTTGCCAGTTTGGTGGGTTAGATTTCAAGCATGGTTATGGTGGTACATGATTTACATGGTACACGTTTATGATAGCTAGCTAGCTAGCTGACAATTTATTTACCTTAAATGCCAATTCTTTCACTTCCATCACTGCATACGACAGTCCATAAACAGGTTTTAAAACTCTATGAGGTGTTTACACCAGTCAATTTAATAAGAAGTCAGAGTTCCATGATACTGTAAATGTACCATGCACTGGGCATGTATGTGTACTACGGTATAAACTTGTCAGTAAATTGTAAATTGTCAGGCTAGCAGTTAGAGAAATGTTCCTTGTTATTTTTGTTATTTGTAATAAACTAATTGTGTTCTTTGCCACAGGAACCAATTTTGGATAACTAAATTATATTTTGATATTTACTGTTGTATTTTCTATGTAGATGCATAATTTGTGAATTATAATATTTGACGTTATCTGGATATTACTGTTCAGTTTTGTCCAATGTCGCCTAATGTCGCCCAATGTCGCTCAATGTCGCCCAGTTTCGCCCAGCGACGCACACTACATTTCTTTGAAAATTGCCAATGTCGCACAATGTTGCACGTAATAACGGCGACCTTGGCCCCCAAAGTAGGCCTATTGGTAACGGATGGACTGGAAATTCACGATCGTAAAGTATGAATTGTCGATCCGTGAATCTAGTGCTCAAGCGTTCGAGTGGCTAAGGGAGGCCTCAAAAATGTTGTCGATCCGTACCATTGGTATCGGATGGACTGGGAATTCACTATCGGAAAATATAAATTGTCGATCCGTGAATCTAGTGCTAAAGCTTGTGTGTGGCTAAGGGAGGTCTAAAAAATGTTGTCGATCCGTAGGATTGGTAACGGATTGACTGCGAATTCACGATCGGAAAATATGAAATGTCGATCCGTGAATCTAGTGCTAAAGGAATAAAGCTTCTAAACTCTGTGCAGAATGAGGGCGGTAAAGACGCTCTTCATTTGAATACGATGCTGTTAGTGTTAAAACGGAAGTGTCAAATGTGAGTTGACATGGTCATAGATATAGTCAAAAAACAATAGCAACCGACAATTTCAAAAAATAGAAAACAAAATATATCAGAATATTAACATCTTGAAACCCAATATATAGGTAAAAACAAACCAAGAACAATTTCGTGATATTTAGATTTTATTGGAAATAATTGCGAGACTAAAACCAAAGTAACAATATTGCAACTTATATCTTGAGAATTTGGTAACGCATGAAATCATCATACGGAAGTATCAATCAAGGAACCATGACAGGTTTGCGCCGCAGGAGTGTGGTAGGTGCAAAATTATGAAAAAAGCTTGAGTTTTTTCCTTGCTTTTAGACGAGAATTTAAAGTAGGTGAATGATATTTAATATGAAGTGCTTCAAGCAACAAGAGGAAATTAAGTGACCTGCGAGAGTTAATTAGGATGGTTTCCTGTGTTGCCTTTTTCCTACGCACGAACAGGCACGTAAAACTTTAAATCCGTTTAAATGTTACTTATGAAATAACCAAATAAATAGAGCAACAGAATTTAGTGTTCCCCATGAGAAGTGTGTGTATATATAATACGCAGCTTTATGTAAGTTAATATTCCGTTATATTCCTTGGCTATTCAGAACGGCAGAATCGTCATGCATGCTTATAGTGTTAATGACACGCGCGACTTTATATAATAAAAGTTAATCTTCGGCTTTACTTAAAGCTTAATTAAAGCCATTTTGATTCATTTTAATAGCAGTTTCCCTGCATGGCTTTTGAGAACGTAAGAATTGTATGTATATATAATACACAGCTTAATTTATCTTGCATGGCTTTTCAGAACGAAACCGATGGAATTGTATGTATACATAATTAATTATATATGTAATATGTATATACTGTTTCTGAGAGACGCAGGAAAAATAATCCTCAAAACCGTTGTTCAACAAAATAAAGCGACTGCCACCACTGTGCTGCTATACGCAGGCTATGACGGGCGCGACTTTCTTAAGAACGAAGCAACGACATATTATATTGCTATATTGCGTATTTTTTTGACCAATTTTGACATATTGCGTCCTTTCTTAAGAACGAGGCAACAACATATTATTTCCACATATTGCATGAATGTTTTGACACATATAAGAACGAGTAAATTGTATGTATGTTGACAATGCATATTGTACTGATATATTGCGTCGTTTCTTAAGAACGAAGCAACGACATATTATATTGATATATTGCGTCATTTGGGTGAATTTTTTGACATATCAAGAACGAGTAATTAAATTGTATGTATATGGAGCTGTGTATGGAGCTGCTCGGAACATGAAACGGTGTAGTGTGCTCGCTCAGACGGATCGTAAACTCAAGATTTCCGTCCGTACCATCCGTACGAATCGTACGGATGGTAAGGTCTTTCGTGGGGTGCATGCAGGATGCGCAGCATGATGCAATTATTTAGATCAGACCACGTGATGGAAAGGAAGTCACGAAACGAAAATATAGGTTACGAATGGTAAATAATTTTGTCCATCCGTATGCAATGCGACAATATTGGACATGTGTGTGGGGGGGGGGGGGGGG